ACTCTACGAGGACTACGACAACGACTGCGGAGGCGGATAGGACCCCGTCTTAACAGCCTATCGTCTTTGATTTCAGAAGATATAGCAGAGGGAGAGCTACATGCTATACTTGAATTTGCTGAAAAGTCTGGAAGGTTCCGTAATAGAGACCTTTGATAACAAAGCTAGGTTATATTTACGCTATAACTAGGGTGAGAGATGAGGTTACTACAAAGAGACAACTGCAAGCAGGAACAAAACTTCAGGAAATAGAACCGTGGAGAGGAATGTAAATAGATCACATAACTCGTATGTAGCCTGCATATCCTAACTAGGATGGGTCAGGGTAAATGAAAAATCAAATCAAATCAAATCAAATCATGACTGAATCAAATCAAATCAATATATATTTGTCGTGGATATGATCAGCTAGCTTCAGAATGTACAAAATATAGGATAGTTCACTTGAATATTATTTGATGGTTGCTTTGTATACATTCAAATTTTTGATAGCTGGTGTGCTTCGCGACTGTGTGTGGGCGCGATTCGGTGGTGAATTAAGTTAACAGGCTGATGGTGCACTCTTCTTAAGCTGTCAAAAGGCTTGAAGATCTTCCTTCTAGGAATCACCTAATGACTGATAAGTCTGCACTCTACTTGGTATAACTTACAGCCGTTCCATTGCCCCTTATACAATAAGATTGTATGTTGAGGAATGACCTGAAAATCCTGGAGCAGGAACCCCACATATGAGAGTTTATGGTGCACGAGTGTATGGCTTGATTCACTAATTCCGATGGGATAATCATACTGGCTAGCATCAGGTTCTAGCTATGTAATTACTCTCTGAGTGTGAGCATCCTATCATCATCAACCCCTTCTATATCAAGGCTTGTGCAGAAGGTCTGCAGTACGCCCTCAACCAGAATTCCGATTGAAGGAAGATGCTACGGTTTGATGACTTCATTGGCTTTGATGGATCAATAATAACAAATTCAAATCTGCGCAGAAGCTGTGTCTGATTAGCATGTCGCGGCCATTTAAGGTCCCTGCGTGATACTTACCTCGACGAAGACTTTGTTTAGTTCCATAAGAGCCACATTCTTACCAAGGCATTGCCATTTTCCAGTGTGAAAGACCAGATTTAAAGTGGCGGTCATGACTTTCAGTTGTTGTGGGTCACAGCTCAACCACCTTTCTGGTCGAAACTCAGCTGCATTTTTGCCCCACACATCTGCGCGTCGCATGATGCCCCAGATGCATACTCCGATGCATGTGCCCTCTGGGAGAAACAGCTCACCAAATGTATCACCACCCTTCGGCACTTCCTTGGATTCCAAAGATGCCAAAGGTGGCCATATGCGGAGACCTTCCTTGATGACGGCTTGAAGATAAGGCATTTTTCGCGCTTCTTCGTCAGTGATGACCGGCCAAGTCGGCTTTTTTGCGTCAATCTCGGCTAACAAGGTACCCAGAACTCGATAATTAGTAATTACGTGCAAAAGTGTCATGCGAATGGCTGTCGCTGTTGTGTCTGACCCAGCAATCCTATGTTAACGCGATTCAGCAAGTCTTGTTCCATAGAATATTTGAAGCCTCGCTTACAGCTGTAGGACTAGCTCAGACTCTGCTTCTAGCTGTGTCAAGCCCCGTGCGATAAAGGATCCAAGCATGTCACGACGAATAATCCCGTCCTCGCTGAAACGTCCTTTTGTGACTTCCTTGGCTATCCTTAGGTTTATAAGTGAAAATAGTACTTTAACTGCTGCTAAAACTCACCCAACAGCTTTTCCAAGCCCTTTTGTATCTCTAGCATTAGGTGTCAACGAGCTGAAGAAGGGCAATTTCATGAGGGTCATGATCCAAGGTATAGCTGTTGTCAGAATTATGAAAGGTAGACTCTTTTCCAACTCGTCTATGTAACCATAAACATCTGAGTCTGAGGATAGATCTCCGAGTGGTTCGCCAAATGCTAGATGTGATATGGTATCTAGGGAGAAGAATGCCACTTTTCGCCCCATATCCATTGGCAATTCAGAATCCGCGTATGTTTTGATGAGATTCACAAATTTCAAAATGTTCTCATCGATCTTGCTCTCTAGTTCATCGACTTCTCTCCCTGAGTACTGGTGCTCTCATCAATAAGTTTCCTACTTCGTACATGGGACAAGAACGTACACCTGCTGACAGCTTAGAGCGTAGCTCAGAGTGAAGCTTATCGTCTTGTTGCGATAACAGATTATCCCTAGAGGGGTCGAAGCGCAAACCCTTATACATGTCGGCTCGGCGGTATTTTGTGCCCGTGTGTAGCATCCGCTGTACAAGTCCTAAGTCAGTTGTTACAACGTCTCGCGGTCCAATTCTTGCTATGGATCCTATATTTGCAACTAAATTAAAGAAGAGCTTGTAGTAAAGGTCTCTCGCAACGAACCGTATCTATTACAAATATCATACATATCTAAATGAGACTTCCTACCTCCGATGGATGTTATCAACCACCATTTCGAGAAGCCGCTAGAGAAGGGTCCTTTTATATGTCGAAGTCGTATATATTGGTGAACTGAGGCAATAAGTCTCCAGAGCAGGAAGATTGATACAAGTGCTTGAATGAGTGCCATTAGCACATCATGAACCGCCATGATATTGAACAGTTGGAAATTCTCAGGGCTTAGATTGATTGAATCTGAGCTGTCTAATCTTGCCCCCCGTTTAAGTACTCTCCCATAGCAGTCCAAAAGCTTCGGATTATGCACAAGCGCCATTTTATGCTATTTGGGGAACGACAGAGCACGAATCCAGGCTTACATGCACGATCCCCGGATACAATACCGCAATTATCGGCCTAGTTCAACCCGCCCGCTTTCTAGTACTGGCTTTCTACGCGCACTATTTTCCTCCAGGTTCTCGATACGGTAAGAGATCTGCTCCGGAAATAAGCTGCTCGATCAGCCCTTCTGGATATTCATTGCCATGCTCACTTCTCTTTTGAATTACTCTACGAAGACATGTGCATTGTCAGAAGATGATAAAGCATGCTTTGTGTGGAAACATGCGCCCCAGCGATGGGCTAAAGTTTTGAAACCTTGAACCAGGCTGTGAAGGCAAGCGATGAAGAAATCTTGTAACTTACTACAATGACTTTTAAATTCTAAAAGTTAGAAATACGGAGGTGCCTTTCAAAAGTCTAACGTCAAGCATAAGCGAGTGAGCCGGACAAGCGAGTGTGCCGTCCTCACCAACATATCATATTATTTTGGCATGTATCATTACAACCCTATATTATATTAGCTATCAAATAGTACATATAGAATCTCAATAAGCTATCTAACGCTGAGTACATTGCTTGATTCGATGACCTGGCTCACCACAACCACTACAGAAATAACATCTATCCCTGCCCTACGGGACAACCTAGCCAGCGAGACAAGATTTCTATTATTTAACACAACACACGATACAGCGAGCTAGAGGGGCAGATAATTTCAGATAATAGTTATAAGATGATAGGCTTCACCACCATACCCTAAATCTTTGATATTCTTGATTCATTTGCCAGCAGGACTGTAATGCGACTTTCCTACTGACACGGAGATGATTTGGACAGCTTTGTAAGCAGGAACTATTCTAAGAATCATACTAAAAAATCACATCCAATATAAATAGATATCTAAGGAACTTAATCCGAGCGCAGGAAGAGGCTATTAATAGTGGTCAGTCTGGTATGATGACTTAATACATTGTGCATAAGCTACAAAATCACCGCTAGGTAAGTAGCAGCCTACGGCTACGAAACAACTTGCTGAGTAATGAACTGTTGAAGCTGCAACCGGTGGCTGATGCAGAGATGTCACCGATGTCGGGCCGTAAAGCAGACGGGCGCTCAGGCTTCCAATTTTCAAAACACTCTCGCGGGTTTGGTGCAGCAAACACGCCAGAAGCTGAGACATCACAATGTAGCAAGGTATAATCACTGGTAATAAACAGCCAGAGGTGAAATTTACACTCGTCTATTTTACTCCTAGTAACCAACAATAGCTAATCTAATCACGCAGAAAGAAAGAGATCAAGCATGAGCCTATGCTTCCACCCTATGTGCACTCTGCCCACGTTGTCCTGCGGCGTTATATCATTCGCGCAACTGGAGCAATCTGTATATCGTCTAGCTTTGCTGCCAAAGTACTACTGGCTTGCGGCGTTTCAGTCTTCCGGGAAGCTTTGGCAGGCGGATTCAGCCTGTCACCTTTAGTAACATCTATCCCGGTGCAACGGGCCACCCGGCGCAACGGGCCACATCCCCGGGTACTTTGTCTTGCAAGTAGTCATACAGTCGCATTTGTGCCTATACTGCCCTTTCTCCTACTGAATAATATAATTTGGCTGGCCTACAGTACCACCACACCTCTAGACATAAATATTACATGCATGTTGCCGCTCCCTAGCATAGTCTATAGAAAGCTCATTTTTACCCCATTATTGAATACGACTGTCAACATTCCACTATAGAATCTCTATTCGTTTTAATGACCACATATGATGATAAGTCAATTATAGAGCTTTATTATCAGGCTGAGAAGCTCTTACTAGCCTTAAGGCAACTGGCATGGGTCGATCATTTATTGTTGCCATGGTCGAACGGTACCTCCCAATTGAAGCTGGCTAGCTCGAAATATTCCCCGCTTATTATAAGCCAATCGAAGATTGATTAAGTAACTTATATAAGCGCATTCACGGAAACTCCACATTCTGTTGCCAGTGGCTTACATCCTAGCCTGAGTCTGGGTTAGTTATTCCGTACTGTTCTCACCATTTGGCTACTTGTGAGGCCGCAATACATTCAGTACATACAGACATTTCTGCGACCGAGAATGATAGAGCGAAGCTCATGATTTTCTATTGGTAGTTTCCTTCAATGTTTCATGTGGACTATGGCTCGACAGCGATGAGCGGAGATGACTTCCGGTCAGCGCGTCCCTACCCACTCAAATCGTGCCGCGTGTTTGGTATTAACTAACTAGCTTAAGAAGGAGCCTGAATCTGGACCTGTCTCCGAACCTGTGGCGCGGGAACTTACGCTCGCCAGCTTGTCGGCTTGCCTATCGATCGCTTTGGCGATATCTATGACCACAATGGCAGGGTTCACGCGGCATACTGCTGTAAATGCGTTCCATACCCGGCATCGGTAACACATGTTTGAAGGCTTGAAGTGGGGAAGATGAGATAATGCTACCGATAACCACGCAGCTAGCCTGGGCTGTACTCGAAAATTAGCATGACATGTGCGAGTTACCCCTCACATTGTGTAACCGAGAGATGACGCAGTAGCATAAATGAGACAATTATTTAGGACGCCGATTTCTATTTCGCCAGTGAGGGACGGTATGCAGAAAGGCCACCACGTATCACCGCACAAAGCTATATTTATAACAAATTGAGAGATGTCGTCAAAGTCGATGTCTAAGAGCGATGCATCTCGGATCCAATCCTCTCAAGTAAACACTCAAATTTCTTGAAATCGAAAAGTCTTACATCAACTAATTACTGCAGGCCAAAGGCGGTGGCGATATGTCATCGAAAGGCTTTGCTTCAAGAGCCCAGTCTGCCGCCGACAGAAATACGAATTCGATTACCACACACAACAGTAGCGGAAAAAATTTAGACGTCAATACGACGGGGTCAACCAGCAGTACAAAAAATATTAAAAATCATGGGTAGTCTGGTATGAAGTAAAGAATAACTTAGTGATATTTGTCTGAAGCGAGAAAGAATGAGATGTGTACGGAAGAGGAGATATCTACGATTGACTCTTTATCGGACGTACCGATATGGTTAAAGAAATTCAATTCTATGCTGAAAGCCTTTCTCACAAATGTTCCGTAAGACTTTTCTTGCAATCCGGCGTTTCTGGTGTTTTCTTCCTGGCAATCTAAAGCCGAGCAACCGGTTGATCATCCTCTAACCTTGAAACCACAAAAGATATTTATAGGCAAGATCATGGCTTCAAAGAGTTTAGATGAGTTTAATGACTGGTTTAGTCGTAAATTGAGCTATTTGATTCCATAGAAAGATGGAAGGATGAAGCAATGGCGCACCCAAGCTTCTCACCAAAACCCGAATTACAGTGTGCGAGCTTAACGGTGGTGCCGTGGCTCGGAAACTTCGTTGAAAAAGGTTCTCTGCGATCCCGGTGTGAGGGTGAACGTGCCATCTGCGGACCGGTGTTTTCATGAGTAGCTATAGCATATGCCTGAGAAGCGTGTCTTCTGCTCGTGCGGACTTGCGCCTTCGCCAACCCCAGCATCTGGTTCCCAACGAACCAGCCCACAGGGAACAGGCCCGAAGGCGGAAGCAAAGCCACAGCTCAAGAATAATAAGGAGGTTTTGTAAGAAATTATGGCCGTATTTTTGCAAGCATTCTGTCAATGTCCGTGCGGAGGATCACGGGAATGATGAATGATGCATAAGTCGGACCGTAAGGTTGTCTAGTTCATTCTATGTTGTCTAGACTAATGGATTGTATGATGATTCTCTGGTCCCCTACCCCTGGCTCTCCTCTCTTATGTTAGTTGGCCAGCGTTTCCTCATGTCACGTGATCTTGGCACGTGCATAGATTGACACATTCGACTGGGTTTACAAAGCGGGGTTGGTGAACAACAGCGAGAACTCTCACCTTTGGAATAAAGAGCTCAATTGTGTTCACATACATGTCCTGAAGACCGGAAACTGCTTTCTCGGAAGCCGCACCGCCCAGCGCGGCCATAAGACATGGCGACGCCCTAGTCCCAGGAGGTAACCGGGCCCACCAACCTCTGAGAGCATGTCCTAGAAATCACGAAGCAGCTCAGCGATACATTGCAAGTCGTAGAAAGAGAGAAAGAGATTGATAGAAAGCAACTAAGCAAAGCCCTCAAGAGCGCGTTACTCGCGCTCGCCAAAATCAAGGACACCCCTGACGTAGCCTCCCTAGAAGAGAAGGTAGATCGACTACGCATAAAGATAGTAAATAGATAGAAAAGCATAGATGAAGCCTTCCGACACCTCCGAGAAGACATAGAGGCAATAAAGGTAAATATACAAGCAGTAGTAACAGCGGGTAAAGAAGCGAAGACAGCGGCGATTGAGGCAGTCAATATAGGCAGGACGGTACTCAGAAATAAAGGGACACATCAGCAGCAGGCTATAGTAAGCTATGCCGCCGTGGCAGCGCAAGGAGCGACGGCAACAAGTATATATAGTCCATAAAACACCAGACCTCCTATATAAATACATTGTGAGATCA